GGAGTGATCCTTACTGGAAAGGAGATTTGTTTACAACATTTTATTTGCTCCTTAGTTTTTAATGCTGTTCTGGCCCTGTGTCCTGTAAACAGAGCAGCTTTTCCATTCTCCAGCCGTGCCAGGCGAGCCAAGGACGGAACAGACTGAGCTGCCGCCAGAATCCTGGGCCACCGAGGTCTCCCGGCCTCAAGAACCCACGCCCAGCCGGGGGTCCGAGAGAGAGGGGCGCTTGCTGGGCCACAGCAAAGAAGGGTGGGATGTGAACTCCAGGTGTGGAAACGGGGAGAAGCCTGTCGGGCTTGTGAAATCGGCTCTTCTCTCTGCAACCTGGGAAGGAGGCAACAGGAAGGCCTCAAGTACCCAAGGTGCATGTCTAATGGGGTATTTGGTAGGGGCCCCTTGGACGGTAGAGGCCCCGCACAGAGTCTGGAGAGAACGTGGCCTTCGGGAGAAAAAGCGGGACTGGTAGTAGAGTTGGCCAAAGGGAATGTGGTGTTGAGTGAGCTCAGGAAAGAGATCACTGCTCCCAGAGTCAGGGTCCAGACATCACCCCCATCAATACTCCTGGCCAGCAGCTCAGCTCTCTCCCCAGGACCGAACCAAACAGGCCAAAGAGCTTGCTCGCAGCCAGAGAGAATCAGCGACGCCCTGGCACATCAGGGAAACACAGACTCAGTGGCGGAGTGCACACTGGAAGTTTCTCTTCCCATCCAGGCACGGAGATCATCCGAGCCAAGAGTCATGGCAGGCAGGCCACTGGGCTCCGTGTCGAGAGTACAGAGGGCACGCTGCCTGAGCGCAGAGTTGCTGGCGCTGGGCAAAGGGCCATGCCTGCAATAACTCATGGACGCCTGGCTACCAGCCCCACAGAGCAGTTTAAAGAGAAGGAAACTGAGGCCCGGGGAGGCAATGTTACTCCCTAGAGGTCTTGGGGCTAGAGTGGGAGGGACGGTTCCGGCCAAGGTGGCCTGGAGCCAGAGGGCGTTCCAGCTAGCCTCTCTTTAAGGTTGCGGCATCCTAAAATAGTCACCAGAGTTCCTCAATTTCTGCACAAAAAAGAGCCCTCTGTCCCCACCACTGCCTCCTCACGTACCGCTGAGGTGTAAATGGGAAAAACTCAAGAGACCTGGGGTGTTTTGTTACAGCAGCCAACTGGGACTGATATGGCTTGCGTTTTCAGTCCCTCCGGAGATGTCGGTAGAGAAAGCAGAACAGGGCGTGGAGGATGGGGTGTGTTCCACGGTGAGTCACTGACCCCCTCAGCTTCGTATCCTCACCTGTAACAACGAGGTCTCAATACCTTTCACAAAGTGGCTGAGATTCGAACGAGAAGCTGTGAAATTGTAAAGCGCTCTAGAACACGGGACATACTGTTTCCTGGATTGCCTGATTTTTCTTGGCTGAACGTCCTATCATCTCTCAAATGTCTGAAACTGTGCCGGTGACCGAAGCCCGCAGAGAGCATCCCCTTTGTCCAAAACTCTAATTCTACTAGTTTGTACCAAGTGAGAAGAAGAGGGGGTGGACTTTGGGTTCTTCCCCTCTTCCCGAAGAAGGTGGACCTCCCGCCTATATCTCTGCTGCTCCCTTTTCCTTTCTGCGCTCCTCCCCGTGGGAAGGGTGGTTAATCAGAGAGCAAATGGGAACAGACCCTCTCTCCCGGAGCCTGCTTGCTTTTGAGTGACACCTCTTCCGTCTTTACCTTCAGTCCCCAGGTAGTATTCCCTGGAACCCGGGCCCATCCCCTGTAGCAGGGGATCTGCCCATCGTTACCCAACTTCTCTGCCTGTGACTTTACTGGAAAAGTTTGCATTACGGTGAAGGGTAGGCAGCATCATCCGTCCAGAGTCTCCAGGAACCCTACCAAAGAGTTCATCTGGCAAATGCGATTAACATTGTACGTAAGATCCCGAAGGCAGGGAGCATCTCATATATGGTTTTTTTTTTTCTTTTATTCCCCCTTCTGTGTTTCTCCTATTAGACACTGTAAAATTCCTCAGGAATTCTGACCTAAACTTCTGAGTTTAAATTTCTCATTCTGACCTCAAAAATGAACCCAGCTCTCAAATAATCAGCATAAAAACAGACACATACTATTTCAAGAAAGGTTTCTGCAGGGAAAGCAACCTATCAAGGAACAAGCACATTTTCTCCACTGTTCAGAAAACACTTTATTGATGAATAATGGGCAAATGCGAAACCAGCAAATTTGGTGGGACACGAAGCCACAGGTCATTAGTAGGAAAAGTCAACCCAACGTCTTTCTTGTACATCTACCTCGTCCAAACTGCCATGCCGAAACTGAAGGGCTCTGAACCTGAGGCCCCTTAGCGACCGTGGTTCTGATCCCAACTTTCACATGTAAGACTTGGTCCAAGTGATTAGTCCATGTGATTCTGTTTTCTGAGGATCGAAGGTCAATCACAGTGCCTGCCACGTGATCGTGAACATGAGTGGGCATCTCAGGGATAAACTTCAATGTGTCAGGAGTGACCCGGCTCCTGCTCTTTTAAGGGGAGGGGGAAAGGGAGGGAGGGTTGGGGAGGAGGAGGTACTTCAAACAAGTTCAGTGTAAGCACAGTAAATGCCATATGAAAAGCACTGGGGTCCAGGAAGGAGGGATCAGCACTTTTTGAGTACCTATCCAATGCCAGATAAATGCGTTAAAAGAACGTGCGCCTGGTCGAGAGGGCAGAAGGAATTCAGGAAGGCATCCCTGAGAAGGGAGACTGGGAACTGAGCCTTGAAGGACCAGGAGGACTTCAGTAGCCTGGGTACCCCCCAACATTGAATTTTTAAAAAATAGACTCATCCAGGGGCGCCTGGGTGGCTCAGTCATTAAGCGTCTGCCTTCGGCTCAGGTCATGATCTCAGGGTCCTGGGATCGAGTCCCACATCAGGCTCTCTGCTCCGCTGGAAACCTGCTTCGCCCTCTCCCACTCCCCCTGCTTGTGTTCCTGCTCTCGCTATGTCTCTCTCTGTCAAATAAATAAATAAAATCTTAAAAAAAAAAAAGAAGACTCATCCAGGAAGAATTGCCAGAGGGTTAAAAATCATGCTGAGTTCAATCAAAATCACCACTGGAATGTGAAAGCAACTTTCTTAATTAAGCAATTCCAGAACATTCCCAACTCTTGGCTACAGGAGGAGTGGTGGTGAGCCATGATATCCTGAACTGGCCTGTGAGGTGCACCCTCTGCGGACCGTTGCCAGGCTGGTTGGGGGCTTAGGGTGCCCTGGTGGGCCAGACCCCATAGTGGTGGGTATCAGCAAGCCCCACCCATGAGGCCCAAAAACCCCAAGAACCGCAATGCTTCAGAACAGACTGGCTTTGCACTGAGGACGTTCGAGGCAAAGGGTAAGGAATGTTCCACATCGTTTAGCTTCACTGCAGCTCATACTTGGAAACTGGATAGACCGGGTACCTGTCCAGCCCCTCTCTGGTCTGGACATTTCACTCCCTGGATGGTGACAAACCCTGGTCAGACCCCAATTATAATGTCCTCACGATGCCACCTTCAGTGGGTCATTCTGCAGGGCATCTGGCTGAGATCACCAGGCACTGTTCAGCACCAACAGTCACACAGCAAGGAAAGGTTACAACATGGAAAAACGGGCGATGTGTATCTTTTTCCGATGCCCAGACTTATGCTCAGGGCCGAGGATGGAGGGGACCCACGAGGACCTCCTGGTCCTGAGCCTCTGCCCCATAGCCGGGCAGTTCCGAAGCCAGCGGGAGCCCTGAACACAGCCAGCTTCGTGAACAGGACAATGCGACAAGGTGTCTTCCACATTCTGCTTTCCCTACGTCTCTAAAACCCAGCCCCGAGTTGTGGTAACAGCGGGGCGAAGGCAGGCAAAGGAGGGAAGAAAGGAGAAGGAGACGGAAAACAATTAAAAAAAAAAAAAACCCTCTGACAGAACTTGATAACCCGAAGTACACAGTGATCGGTGCCGGACGGCATACAAAAGCCAAAAGGCAGGTCCCAGGATGGGTCAACTTAAGACTTAATATTTGCCTTTCACTAAGCAAACTAATAAATCCCCTCCAGTTGTAACCACGCAGAGCTCCCAGTTTTTATTTATTGGTCAAAACTATAGGCAATCCCCCCTGCCCCCCCATCACCCCAGGCAAATAGCAGTCCCCCTTCCCCGTGCCTGCCATCAGTCTGTATGTCTATTTGCCTTCTCCCTCAACAAACTCAAGTTCAGTGCAACTGACAATGAGTGCAAACAGCTTTGAAGTATTCTTTGGTAATGGACTTCCCAGGACAGCCCTGTTTTTGGCTTGTGCAGCCGAAGGCAAAAGGAGAAGAGCTACTTGTCAGAGAATAGGCAGGCCTCAGCTGGGTCTGGCGAGGCTTAGAACTTGACACATGGGAGGGACCTTAGAGGACCATCCACACCACCCACTTATCCCTCTCTCTCCCACTTTGTGGATGAGAAGACTGAGACCCACAGAAAAGGACCTTGGGGCTGAAGTTAAGGTAGGACTAAAGTACAGACTTCCAGACACCCCCTTCCCCTCCCCAGTTCAGAGCTCTTGTCAGCCTGGGCATAGAAGGTCTCACTCGGAAGCAGAGCTAGGGGGACCCAGCCCTGCCTCCCACCAGCCCGGCGTTGAGGGTCTTGTCCAAGGTCAGTGGCCAATCCCAAGGTCACCCTTATGCCCTTTAAACCATATTCCCCTGAGCAGAGGGCCATACTTCACCATTAGAACCTTCTATTTCTCCATCAACACTGGGGTTTTGGGGACCCTCTGAAAAGGATAAAAGGTCCCTGTGGGTCAAGTTTTGATGCCACGGGAAAATCTCACAGGAAAGCCTGAACAAAATCTCGGGACAGGGCCCTAACTTGAGGTTATGTTCATAATGGATCACAGCAAGATGAGTATGTTCAGCATGTGGATGAAATGCCTTTCTACCGTACCTTGGGCAACATCTGATTTACTCTTCTCACATGGAGCAAAAAACAAGCAAACCTTCAAGTCACCGACTTGATTAAATACGACGGCACTGTGGATGTCAGAGACAGAAGGGGCTTCGGGGATCACGTGGCCCGGCTCCTCCATTTTGCAGGGAAGGAACGAAGATGAGGAGCTTTTGGAGACAAAAATCTCAGATTTCCTTGTCTCCCCACTCTGTGCTTTTTATCAGCGGAAGGCACCCTGGATCCAGAAGAGACCGAAATATGCTGGGGAGGGGGCACAGTGCACCTGCCTCAAAATCTCATTAAGAAGCTGACATTCGTGGTCTCTAGGCAGCCCACGAGCCGCTCTTCACAATCCTACCGCTTCCCTTACCAGGCTGAGTATCATTCACCCCTCTCTCACAGTCCTCTCCCGCTCTGCCATAAAGTCTGCCTCCCCCAGGCCTGGGTGATCCCTCGTCTGATGCTGGAAAGGGGATTCCTGCCTCAGTCAGAGGTAAATCTAGATAAAGGTGATGCCTTTAGACCACTTTGAACTCTGGGATTCTATGTGGACAAGAAGATAAGGAGAGAGAGAGAAAGAGGAGATTGTTGCCTTTGGCACAACAATGAGACTTCTTCTGGAACCAAAGACCGTACATGGGACATGAATGAAGGGAACGTCTGAAATGAGTTCATCTTTTTAAAAAGAAAAGTGGTGCCCAAGGCGCTGGGCTAGCCTTCCTTCTATGACAGTGAAGGCACAGAGAGCCAGAACAGGGGCAAAGACTCGGGTGCATGGGGGATCTCGATCTTTGCATGGTGGTAATGAGAGTTGGGTTTCTCGATGTTTGCATGCTCATCTCTACCTTGGCAGGCAATAACCCCCCATATGGCCACAGCGTGCAAGAGGGGCGGGACGGGCTGAAGGCTCCCGTTAGAACACTGCAGACGCTCATGCCCGTCTTTCAACAGAAACGACGGAAGCCTGACCCCCTGACAAGAAGCAACAGCTACTGGATGGCATGCAAGCCCGAAAGCCTGGCTTTGACTAACCTGAAAAGTACCTGTAATTTGCCTTCAGATTGTTCTTACTTGTCAAGAACACCAAAAGTTGGGCAGGTACAACCTTCCCATCTGCCTCCACCGCCCACGACCACCACCAAGTTCTGCTCCCTTATCCCAGATAGAGGCAGTGCCTGGAGAGGGAAGAGGGAGCTGGGAGGTCCCATTCAACACGATCGGAGTGGAACTCAAAGGTGATCCAGAGACTCTGAGGGAAAGTACACACTTGGGCCCCATTTACGTGTTCTTGATATTTCAAAGAATCCTAGAGTTCAAAGGAATCTCAGGAAGTCCTCCAGCCAACTCCTTTGCTCCCTAGACAACCCTACCCCGATGATTTTAGCTCTTACTCTCTCTAGCGAAGATGCAGAGTTTTCTTCTTGGCTCATTCTACGTGGTACATGCGTGTCTCTCAGACACGTGTAGTTTGTTCCCCCACCACCACCCCCGTTCCCAGTGGCCATGGTAGTTTTCTTTCCTAAGGAACTGTTCTGTTCTTAACAAGAAAGGTTATTAGCATCGCCTTTTTTAAGTAGGACTGGATTGGAGAGGAATCCCTGATACCTTGAATGGCTCCCAGGTCCACTATCCACAGCACTTCTTCTGAAGGAAGTGGTCTCAGCTGGTTTGTTACATCCAGGTTTTTATTCAATATCATGTAACCCTACCACCCGGGAAACACCTGATGTGGTCAGGACTGGGTGCTTGATCCAATGGCCTCCATCTACAGCCTGCCCAGTGGTGAACAATGTGGTCAGACACAAGGGTTCTGAATGGCAGCTGGTTGGGCTAATCAAGAGCATCAGCAAACTATGGCAGGTAACTCTGTAACCCAGGAGCATGGCTAACTGTTCCGGTTTGCCCAGGACTGTCCCAGGTTTATCACGGAAAGTCGTGTGTTCTGGGACAGCCAGCACCCTCAGCTCATCATCACAGGAGAATTCCAGAATCAGGAGCAGTGAGTCGTGCTGCTGAGCAGATGATCAAAATGACCACAGCGTCAGAGTTCTTGCTGTTTCTGGAAACTGTCTAGCGAATGGATGTCTTGAATGACTTTGGGCTTCTAGAAAGGCCTCGCTGGGCAGCTGCTGGGCAGACCGTTCCTGTCTACCTTACTTCCAGAGCAACTTGGAATAAATCCACGTTAATGCAGGTGATCTAAGGGGTCTCTGTTCCTTGAAACCTGAAAGACTCTAACCAGTACGACAAGTCTGTGTGCATGTCAAGGAAGGAAGACCAAAGCCCACGAACGAGTCTTACATTTCAACAGCAGGAAACGACCTCAAGAGGTTCTCCTCGCTTATTTTGTGGGGAATCTGAGGCCAAGAAGGACCCCGTTGCTCCCCTGAGCAGACACTGAGGTCATTCTATGGTCACAGAAACACTTCACCCACAAACAAAGAGAAGATATATGTGTATGGCTTTAATTCCTCCTACAAAGGCAAGCCATCGTTTGCTTTAGAAGTAGAACGAACGGACATCTTCGGCTCTGCAAGTGAGACAAGGTCGACTCTAGAAGTGTTTTCAGCCACGTGCACGGTGGCACTGGAGGGACGAAACAAACAGGACTCGTGTTTCGAGGGGCCCGGTCTGCCGTCAGGAGTGACACCAGCATCCGAGGGGCAGAGGGTCTTCAATAAACACACCAGCTCTGGTAGCGAGATGGTCTGTGACAAAGCCCCATGCTCTGGCAGGGGCCCCATCTGCCATCTGAGGGAAGGGGTCTTCACAGCTGGTGGTGCATCTGCGTCAACAGAAGACAGGTGGGAAATGGACAGAACACTCTGTCAATTATACATCAAATGACATTAAAAAAAAAAAAAAAGAGCAGATAGCGGGGATGAACACACAGCATTCACTTTTTGCTCTTCCGGACAAACATCTGGGTGGGATCCAAGCAAAGAAAGCTGACATGGAGGACACCAGAGCCCCTACAGGAGGCCCCCCCCCGCAACATCCCTGACATCTGAGGTCCCGAAGAACTTCTGCACTGACCCGTATCACTCTGGAACCTGAGGGGCCAGATCCCAAAGAAGCGAGAGGACATTCTATTCCAATGCTGCTCACATAGCAACACAAACACTGGCCTCTTTAGAAGGAACAGGAACAAAAATTAAAATCCCATTTGACCTAAGTGTGGTTAACAATTCACTCTGTATCCGGCTGGAAGATAATGGAGCAAACAAGAATTGCCGAGCCAAAGGCACAGCAGACGGGGGAACTGGGGGGCAAGAAAGGGTGTGGTAGAAAGCCCTTTGGTTCCCGGGCACTGGGCTGGGGGGTGCGGGGGAGTCTTAAGGGCAGGCAGCAGAAGAGGAAATGTTTTCCACAAGAAGGAAGGACAAGGTCTGTGATGATGGTGACTCGTCAACTGTAGGTTGCGTCCAGCTCGTGCGGGTCCAGACATACACTATTCCTCAGTGCAAAGGTCTTTACTTTCTCTTCCAATGTCTTAAATCCAGAAGTTTCTTCTTTCTCCAAAATAAGAATTCTTAATCAGAGCCAGAGCTCTTGCCTCTTAAGAGATGGTCCCATATTAGCCGGGTACTTTGAGAGGTCCCAATGGCGTACGTTGGCTCCCCCCAGCTTCCTGGTGGCAAGTGGGAGTGAGGAAGAGCGGCCCTTAGCCGCTGCCCTTTTCCAGGCCTGTAGACCGAAACACAGCATCAGAGTTAGATTCTGCCTTCTGCTCTTTCAGCAGTGAGCTTGACTCTCCTGTCTTTAGTCCATAATGTTCTAGCCAGTGAACAGAACCCACGGTGCAAAAAGTACTATTGAGCTAAGACAGGAAAAAAAAAAAGGCGCCCTATTTATACCACTCAAGGAACTCCCCCTACACTGAATTACCACCAGGAACCCTCCACTCAGATCTCACCACTATAACCACATAGCTGATTTAAACAAACAAACACAAAAACAAAAAAACCCCAGAAAACACTGAATATAGCCAGCCCAGAGGAAGTGGAAGCTTCTGTTTTTCAGCATGTCACGACATTGTCCGTGAGATTCGGCGCGGGAAGCATGGAGGTGTTAGGTCACCCACTTTATAGACAGGAAAACTGAGGCACAGAGGCTGCTGGTGTTCTTAGTACAGGATGGCAAGGGCCTGGTCCCTAACCTAATGTTCACTTTAGCTGGACGTCTGTCTGTTCTCACAAATCCCTTAACCACGAATTAGGAAATTATCCAGAACAAAGGGGTCCCTGGGAGGAAACTGGAAAGACTCAGCTTAACACATTTGTTTTCCTAATGCTGATTGCAAATAAGCGAAGATGGACGTGGGCTCCACATACTTTCCTGACTTCCCACCACCCCGTGACCCCCATTTCTGAGGGGCAAATATAGCTAGTGCCACCAAATGCCCCCAGGGGACTTCCCCATTTTAAAATTGACGAGGCCCAGCGAGGCAAGCCAGGGGCCTACTCCCAGACACGGATAATCCAGGCCTCACGGCTGCGGCAGTCACCGTCCACCCATACGGAACAACGTGGGCACCTGCAGATGCACACGTGCCCAAGGACCAGCCCGGGTGAGATGCTGTGAAAACAGACACAGAGCAGGCAGGCAAGCCCCGGCCTCGCAGGCCTTAGCAGAGAGGGGATACTGATGAAGCACGAGGCCGGAAGGACATCAATGGCTGAGGGACACACACTGGAGATTCTGGGGGCGGTCTGGGCCAACAGGCTCCCATGGGCCCCTCTGCAGACCTACGGAGGTCGCAGCCCAGCCTGTGCAGGGGTGTTCTCCTTCCCGTGGGTTTTGGCTACCGCCCAGGCAGGGACACCCAGAGACAAGGCACTAACTGTCAGGGATGGGAGGAGGTCCCAGTCAGGGCCTGCCCCGAGGGGTGGGGGGGTGGGCAGACCGAGCAGAGAGAACACAGAAGACATTCCTCTGCCAGAGAGCTGCAGGGGGCGGGGGTCTGCGTGTTAGAGCCACCTACCCACGAAGCGCCAGCCAGCGTGCCCACACAGAGGCACTCTTGGGCTCCGAGAGGCTCTCTGATTGGCCGCCAAGAGGAACCCCTAAGTCTCACCCAGACACTCTTTCATTTGGAACCGAAAACACCCTGAAGAGCCCCAAAGCTCTGCTAACTCTCCTCCGGTTCCCTTTCCCCTCCGGGGCAGCAGCCCTCACAGAGGGCCAGGAGGAACCTTTTCCCCGGGGAGACGCACGCAGCTAGCAAATTAATTGGCAGCAGTGGGTGAATCACACAGGGACTTCCTTCTTGTTGCCCAGCAACTGCATGCACTTGGCAGGGGGACATGAAACACAGAGGGGAATGTTGGGAGGCACTTGCAAAAGAAAATAAAAAGCAAAACATACAATATCCCAGACTCATCCCGGCAGACCCAGCCAAGGCGGGGCTGGGGGTCGGGGGGTGGTTGTGATGGGGTGGGGGGGACAGAGACGAGGGAATCACTGCAGGGAAGGAAAATAAGGTTAGGACAGAACCAGTCCAACAGAGCCTAACACTCCCGCCGCCCTCCCTCCTCCCATAAACCCTGCTAGGTGGAGCCTTTGTATTTGGCCGAAGACAAGCCTCCACGAGCCTAGGGAAAGGCGAGAGGGGGGCTCACAGATTAGCAGGCACCTAGAGGTTTGCAAGGTGACCTAGAAACACGTGGCCCAGAGGGTTTGCAAAGCCTGCCGCCGGGTGACTGACCGTACCTGCTGTTTATGCTTGTCCGGCGTGCATCATGCCCAGGTGAAGTCACTCTGCCACCTCCAGGGCAGGGTCCCCTTCCCCCACTCCTTTTCCACTTGAGTGTTTTCATACCCGTTGCCATGGCCAGTGGGGCTGATTAGACAAACCTCGGACACACTGCCCTGCCCTCCAGAACCTGTCTCTGGCCTAACAACTCCCCGAGTGAAATGTACGCAGTGTCTGTGTCGGGAACAGCCCACGGAAGCAAAGCTGGGGACCAGGAAAGGCAGCACTGGACCAAGAGAGCCCCTGTGGCTGGCTGACTGTTAGCCCGCAAAGACACCCACGTCCTAATCCAGGCAGCCTGTGAATGTGACCCTCGGCGGCAGAAGAGGTCTGATGTGCAGAGATGATCCTGGAAGACCCAGGTGAGCCCCAACCGTCACCACGAGGGTCCCTACAAGAGGGAGGTGGGGGTGGGGGGTGGGAAGGAGATGTGACACAGGAGAGGGAGTGAAATGTGAAAATGAAAGCAGGAGTCTGGAGTGATTCGGGGAGGAAATGGAAACACAGGGGCCTCCAGAAGCTGGAAAAGGCAAGGAAATGGATTCTTCCCTAGCACTTCCAGAAGGAACCAGCCCTGCGGGTACTTTGACTTTAGCCCAGTGGAATGAGCCTCCAGAATGTATGAGAATAAATTTGTGTTGTTTTAAGCCACGAAGTTTGTGGTAATTTTACGACGGCCATAGGGAACTAATCTTGTCCATCGGGCATACCACGCCTCTGTCGCTCAGTAGATCTACAGAAGAGGGGATCACGGTGCGGATATAGGTGACAATGGAATGCAGCGGGTCAGAAGGGACAGGGTCCCGCATTTGGCTTATAAATGTCTAACAGAAACCCTGCAGGCTCAGAAGGAAAAGGTCAGGTCCCTGAGAGCAACCAAGGCAAGAAGCAGCCCAGGCTTAGAGGCAGACTCTCAAGTTATACCATTTGCGACTGTCAACTTGGGCTGATGGCTTAATCTCTGCAAGTCTCGGCTCTGTCCGTCATCTGAAAAACAGAGATGATATTATTATCTGCCTTGCAGAGCTGTTAGGATTAAATGATATACTGCATGAAAAGCACAGGGCAGATGCCAAATATACAGATACAAATGGTAACTCTTCGAAAGGATTAGGCATGTACATATGGGCAGAAGCAGTTCAGTTGATTACTCTACCATGTATCCTCCCTTTTCTACTTAGTAACATAACTGAGTTTTGGCTGGCACATTGTGGCCCAAAATAAAAAGATTATGTTTCTCAGCCTTTCTTGTAGCTATGGCCATGTGCCCAAGATCTGGCCAAAGAGATGTAAGCAAAAGTGCCATGGGAAGTGTGTTCAAAAGGTGTTGGAGGGATGCCACTGTTTTCCCCTGTCTGCCTTTCCTACCTTCTGCTTTCAAGGAGGACACGATGGCTGGTGCTCCAGCAGCCATTCTGGACCATGAGGGACATTGATGATGGGAGTCATGCACTAAGATGATCTAACGAGAAGATGGGAACCTGGGTCCCCGATAACTCCAGAACTACCACACTAGCCTTAGATGGCCTTTCTTTGGATTTCTGTTATGTGGGAGAGAATGCTCTTCTTAGTTATTAAGTCATTGCCATTTTAGAGTTTTCTAGTAACCACAATGGATATAATATATCACAGATCTAGAAAAACAGGGTGCAGAGTCAGTCTAGACTAGTGGTTCTCAGAGCGTAGCCCTGGACCGACAGCTTGAGCAAGCACCTGGGAACTTGTTAGAAATGCAAATTCTCAGGCCCCACCCCAGACTTACTGAATCCAAAACCCTGGGAGCGGAGCCCAACAGTCTGTGTTTTAACAAGTTCTCCAGGTGGTTCTGGTACATTCAAGTGTGAGAACCACCATTCTAGAGCAAAGTTTCTCAACTCTGGAAGTAATGACATTTGGGGCTGGATAACTCTTCATCGTTGGCGGGGGGGGGGCTGTCCTGTGCATTGTAAGCTGCTTAGCAGCATCCTTGACCTCTACCCACTAGATCCAGTAGCACTCTCCTCTCCGTGTGACCCTCAAAAGTGTCTCAGACATTGTGAGTCGGGGCAGGAAGGGGAGAGTCAGCAAAATCACTCCCAGTTGAGAAATGCTTTCTCTTGGGGGTGGTCCATTCTTGACCTTGGCTGCACATTAGCATCACCTGGGACGCTTCTCAAAATTCCAATTTTCCCTCCAGTGGGGTTAAATCAGAATCTACTAGGGCAGGACAAGGTGGCAGTTAAAGCTCTCCAGGTGATTCCAGTGTGCGGCCAATGCTTAGAGACACTGCACACTGCAGAGGGCCAACAGGCCCGGAGGAGAGACGGCTCTGAGCCGGGGAAGGTGACACACCACTATCCTGACTATGGGAAGCACACGAGATGCTCCCAAGCAGACGCTATAAAAGCATTACTGCTGTCAACCTGGGAATGGGCATCCTAGTCGCCAGATGGGGTGACTAGATGGGGAGGAATTCCTGGTGGCTGTGTCACCTCATTTCCCATCAAAACCGGGCAGACACCTTTCAGTGTCTCCCATGAATAACCACACAAAGCCTCAGTTCCCTCCCCTAATAAACAGCACACAATGAACCCGCTCCCATGAGCTAGAAATATGAGCTCATTCAACAAAAAGAACTGTCTTAATAAAGACAGGGGTACGGCAGTGGGGCCTATTTAGAAACGGGGAGCATTAATTCTCCTTCCAATTGGTAAACTCCCCAGGCGCTGACACCACAATCCTCCCACAAGGATGCACTCAGAGCAAGGAGAGATTTCCCATATACTGAACGTAGCCCTGCAAATCAGCTTGGCCGGGGCTCCGCAATGGGTTGGAGCAGAAAGGAAGGAAAGAATTCAATGAGGAACCAGCAGTGAAGAAAGGGAGAGGCAAACAGGTTGATGCTCCTTGAAAAGAAAGATGAAGTCATGTGTGAATTGTCCTGCTGGGAACT